TGTATCTCGACATTGTAATTATAAGTAATTTGCTTTAATATATTAACTCAAACTTGAAAGAAAATAAAAACGCTGTGTATTTGTTAGAAATTATCTATCGTCGATGTTAGGTACAATTTCATTACTTATTACCCAAATGATTTCGGGCATCCGTTATCATCTTTAGCATGATTTACAAAACTGTAAAATATGATATTCATCTACACGATATAGATGTTTGGGGGGAAGGGAGGGGCAGTGACTCTCTTAGGAATAATAAATCACATAGAGACGCGAAATGAATTCAAATATTCAACCCGTTGGTGAACGGCCAGGTCAGGTATATAGCCTTAGGAAATGAATTAATATTGTCGCCTTTGGTTTACAAGAATCTTTGTTTTACTGGTCTTCGTAATTTGAATAAATGATATAATATTTGATAGATTGTTTAGGCAGAGTATTCATGATGAAACTTTGTAGAATGGACGACAACTGTCTGTTGTAGAGATACAAACGGAAGACTTTCGAAACGTCGTCCTTGTGGTCTGTTGTAGAGATACAAGCGGAAGACTTTCGAAACGTCGTCCTTGTGGTCTGTTGTAGAGATACAAGCGGAAGATTTTCGAAACGTCGTCCTTGTGGTCTGTTGTAGAGATACAAGCGGAAGACTTTCGAAACGTCGTCCTTGTGGTCTGTTGTAGAGATACAAGCGGAAGACTTTCGAAACGTCGTTCTTGTGGTCTGTTGTAGAGATACAAGCGGAAGACTTTCGAAACGTCGTCCTTGTGGTCTGTTGTAGAGATACAAGCGGAAGATTTTCGAAACGTCGTCCTTGTGTCCTAAGTTTCATTTGAAATGATATATTTGTTGAAAATCTTTTACGTCTTGGGAAATGGGACGATGATAACTTTTTTAAAAAAATCGACATATAAAGAAATAAATATGATGTGGTGCTTAGCTTTTATGTTTTTTTCCAATTAACTTATTTTCCTGATTTGAACCTTAGTATTAAGTCGGTAATATTTATGAAATTGTTTAAGGAAGAGCCATCTATTGCTTTTGTAATTCTTATAACAGTAGTCAACGAGTTAGGGCAAAAATAACTATTTTATTTTGTAAGTTAGTTACACGTAGTCCGTATTTATATCGAGTCAAAATAAAGTTTTTCCATCAATTTCTTTTGTTTGTTTTTTATATTCGCGCAAAGCTACACGAGGGTTCACTGCGCTAGCCGTCCCTAATTTAGCAGTGTAAAACTAGAGAGAAGGCAACTAATCATCACCACCCACCTCCAACTCTTGGGCTACTATTTTTACCAACGAATAGTGGGATTGACTGTCACAATATAACGACCCCATGGCTGAAAGGGGAGAGCATGTTTTATTTGGTGGGACGGGGATTCGAACCCGCGACCCGTAGATTGCGAGTCGAGCACCCTAACCACCTGGCCCATTTTCTTTTGAACTACAGTTTTAACGTGTTATTAGTCACACCAATAGTTAGACTTACTCAACAGATACGTTATGAATTTGAACTTTTATAATTTCATGGAGCAAATGACAATTTCTGATGCTATTCCATGACTTACCTATTAATCAAAATTGAACAAAATACAAATGTAAAAATGAAATAATAAGCTCTCAATGGCCGCAATATATGGTTAATGACATGTCAATATAAGCTTTTGGACTGATAATATTAGATAACAATGTAACATCTGTTATCCAAAGAAGCAGGGTGTTACGGCGACTTGTTTTCCCATTCACATCTAATGTGCCTGTTACTTTGAGAAACTAATCATCACATGTTTTATTGCACTTTTGTAACAGATAGATTGAATGAATACAAAGCCTTATTTTCGTGCTTTTAGACAGTACTACCAATTAGTATTTCAATAGATTTGATCGTGTTTGTTGTTGTTGTTTTTAAAAGAACAATCGCAACTCAGAAAAAAGGTTTAGGTATTTTCTATATATTGACAAACGACCAAACCTTTGGAATATAATATTACCTAATTTATACAAATGTAAATATTAGCCAATAAGGGACTCAAATGAATTAGTCAATATGTTTTTTGTTGCAGCAAAACTTCGCAATCTCGTTCATGGCTTGTGTCGACGTCTATTAATCTGTAAGAAAACAAATGCGAAAAAATATACGTAGTGTATGTTTGTCGATCTACTTTCTGGTACGTAGTGTATGTTTGTCGATCTACTTTATGGTACGTAGTGTATGTTTGTCGATCTACTTTCTGGTACGTTGTGTACGTTTGTCGATCTACTTTCTGGTATGTAGTGTACGTTTGTCGATCAACTTTTTGGTACATAGTGTATGTTTGATCGACAAACGTACACTACGTACCAGAAAGTAGATCGACTACTTTCTGGTACGTTGTGTATGTTTGTCGATCTACTTTCTGGTACGTTGTGTATGTTTGTCGATCTACTTTCTGGCAACTTACGTATAAACTAATTTTGTTTCCTGACACATGTCGAAAACAGGTTCGGTAGAAAAAGAAATACAGAAGTTGTTTGAAGTTAAGCACAAAGCTACACAATGGGGTAACTGTGCTCTGCCCACCACGGGTGTCGAAATCCGGATTCTAGCGTTATAAGTCCGCAGACATAATGCCGTGACACTGGGGGGGGGGGGCAAATACAGAAGAAGAACATATTTATTGTACCATTTCTGAAATATCTCAAACTTATAGAAAGGCAATAGGAAAGTTAGAAATACACTTTGATGTGTTGGTCGTCTGATAATTCATTAGTCAACGAAAAACAACAAACTGTTCAAACACTACGTTGTGTACTAAAAGCAAGTTAAGGCTCTGCACGACGTTTTCCGTTGTTTCTCTAGAGTTACGCTTCGTTTTTTTTTTGCTTTGGAAGTATAGTTAACTGTTTCATAAATTGTTAGTTAGTTTAATAATCTGAGAAGCGATGGTTCATCTCCACAAGTGTTCTGTATAATACATATAATGTGCATATGTGTGTTTATATATCAGTATAAGAGAAAAGAGACCATACAGTGGTTTCATTTAGAACACGATTTGATTTCTCATTATTACTCTGAAACAAACAATAATCAAACGGGTTTCATGAAACAAACAATAATCAAACGGGTTTCAATCGTCTTCATATATATAGTTTTTACTATCAACTATATAATACCAGCTATATAGTACCTTTGATAGTTTCTACTGTCAACCATATAATACCAGCTATATAGTACCTTTGATAGTTTCTACTGTCAACCATATAATACCAGCTATATAGTACCTTTGATAGTTTCTACTGTCAACCATATAATACCAGCTATATAGTACCTTTGATAGTTTCTACTGTCAACCATATAATACCAGCTATATAGTACCTTTGATAGTTTCTACTGTCAACCATATAATACCAGCTATATAGTACCTTTGATAGTTTCTACTATCAACCATATAATACCAGCTATATAGTACCTCTGATAGTTTTTACTATCAACCATATAGTACCTTTTCACCCACCTTGTATACATTCTAAGAATTTGTGGGTAAAAGTAAAAAAGAAAATGTTATAGTGTATCATATAGACACATGAACAAAATCCATACACGTGCTACTAAACTGATTACAATTTGCTGGCTATCAGACTTCAGGTGTTGTTTTGGGCTTTTGAGAAACAACTTTGATTTCTTTCAAATAGCTTTACTGCCACAAGATATCCGTTGAAAACACAATGACAGTCACTCATACACACAAAGGCTGAAATATATATACCACTTGAAGTTATAGGCAGTCAATTGGAGCAATGAAGTTATACATGTGAGATTAATCGTTTGAGTTTGTATTTATATATGTATTAGCATTTATTGTTAATAAACTTTATTTAAAACATTTGCCATTGAAACTGAGAAAAAAAGGAAAACTATTGTTGAAGAAGGGGATCAAACTCGAGTATCTTAACTTGGCCATTTTTGCTTCTTGAGTTCTATTCATTTGTACTTTATAATTTCAATGACCAGTTTGATACTTCAGCATTTCTACAGTATGTTTGATAATATTTTGCTGGACATATTGAGACAAACAGCGTCTTGAAAATATGTTGACCCATGTATTATTATCAACCATTAGAACTTGCACCATTTTGACCCATGTATTATTATCAACCATTAGAATTTGCACCATTTTGACACATGTATTGTTATCAACCATCAGAATTTGCACCATTTGCAAGTTTCTACTCCCTCTAAGCGACTAGCTTCTGTTTGTATGCTAAAACTATATTAAGAAGACTAATTCTACTCCCATTTTGACATCAGGAAGAGGTATGTATAATGTTCATCCTCATTTAATATTCAGCTAATTTGAAAAATTCCAGAGAACAGTTTCAAGCTCTTAGAACTTAACCAATTAGCCATCATTTACAATAATTGACATGTTGGTGTTATTGTGCAGTGACTCAATATAATTCTGGTTATAATGCTGCATTAAGGAGCAACTCCTGTGTGAAAGCAGGAGCAGTTTGGTTGGTGTTATTGTACAAGCAACTCAAGTTCATTCTGGTTATAAAGCTGCATTAAATATACTGTACATTTTCCTTAGTTTGCACCTTTTAATAAATTTGAAATGGATTAACAACTTGACATACTATTTGATAATTGAATATAGGTATAATGTACAATGTTTTTTGGAGTATATTTACCAACTGATGTGAAAAAAAAAAAGATTCACCAGAAGCAGTATTTATATCCACGAGAAAACTGATTGTTTAACTTGCTATATTATATTTACTGGTGGTAGTTACGAGCTTGTTGTTTTTTGTTTTTTTTATCGCTAACACACACGTTTAAACACAAATATATTGAGGAAAATTGAAAAACAAAATCAATTTTTAGACAAAATTCTATAAGTTCTATTCTATGCAAGTAATTTGCAAAGAGAAAAAAAAAACTTCTTACAATTTGCGTTACCTACACACAGTTGAATACAATGATAACGGCATGAAATATGGAGATGACAAATTTTTTACACATTTCTTTGGTTAAAGAGTTTGATGAATGTTTCAACACAGGAAAAAGAAATCTTTCACAACCAGCAACTTCGAAAAGCTGTTCAACAACAACAAAAAGAAAACATATAAATTATCTTTTCCTTGGACAACACTAATTCCAAGATGAAAACGACATGACAGTTAGTTGCTCAGCTGTTCATACAGTTTGGGAACATAGCTGTCCCACTGGGCCTGGTAAAAATTGCCGGCCCATGGTTCACCCAACTCGTATTTGGCAGCAAAGTCTCTAATTCGGAAGAGACCTCTGTGCTCCCCTGATGTATTAGTGAGCCTTTTTTCTGTGGGGCTCAAGCATTCTGGTTGTTTGTAGACCAGAAAAACATAACGATGGAGTCCTGAAAATAATAAAAAAAAGATCAAGGTAAACAAATTCAAAACTATACATTTTTTGACAAAAGTGGTTCATGATGACGGTCTGAAAAACAAAACTTTATTTTTAATAATTAGAATCGTCAAAGTGTTGTTTTTTAAAAGTGTTCAAAGTAAGGGCATGGGTTGTCTGAACTTGTTTAAAATACACATAATCATTGCACACTGAAAAATGTGCGTGTGCACATTTTTTTATTGACAAAACAGTTCTTTTGTTATTAATATAAGCTAAACAATTTGTCAGGTTTTTGTATGGGCCTGATTCATTACATTAGGTGTCCTTGACTTGTTGGCTATAAATTTCAACAATAAACAAACAACACACAGTCCACTTGTTTTAAAATAATATATTAAAACAAATCAAACATATATACAAATGTTAGTTACACTGTTGGATAATATAGTTTTATCCAGAGCTTTAACTAATTGTCTATTTTCCGTCAAGGTCCACACAGGCTGGTTCAGTTACTTTAGAACACAATGTGTCAAGACGAATTATTCTTCTCTACTTTGTTATTACAATACAATCTGTGTTAATTTAATTTTAAAAATCGCCACTATACACTCTTTATGGCTAAACTCACAATAACGCAGTCTAGATCTTTCTTTCCAACTAAATTTTCAACGCGTACTTATACCCTGACAGAGATCTAGAACGTTCCACACGCTACTAGATTTTATGATGCAATAATACTCAATTAAAACAACGATCTTAGAAAGCTCTAGTAACATGATGCAACAATATAACAAGCGCCAACTAATAACTATTGAGCTAGCTACACAGCGTATGATTCGTAAAGTTATCTATAAAGCTTGCGATAAACTATCGCTTCTAAAAATAACTAAATTTAACACTGTGCCGTATAACTATCTAACTCATAACTCTCCATGTGCAAGTATAACTCAAGGGCTGGAAATTTATTATGAAATTTTTGTTTGTTTGTAATAAAGCACAAGGCTACATAATGGGCTATCTGTGCTCCGTCCACCACGGGTATCGAAATCCGGTTTGTAGCGCTGTAAGTCCACAGGCATTCCATTATGCCACTGGGGGGGGGGGGCTTTTAAAGTAGGCGTTGCTTTGTGTCATAACTCTCGAATTAAACGTAAACAGTCATTTACATCTAACACAATCTTTGTTGAAAGTTTTATAAATATACAATTTCTGAAAGGTAAAGAAAAATTGCTTTTGCCTTTATCAACATCTCTTTATAATCGATTACAAAGGAAAGTTCTGTGCAATTTATATAAAACTTATCATCTGCATACAGTATAATTTACAATACAAACTCAGTATCTTACATTCACATAGTGATAGGAACAAAACATCTAAAAACAAACATTTCCTGCTTCACTTTTAACATGGTGAATACACAAAGGACTTTTTCTAGGTGAAAACTCGTTTAATGCTAAAAATTTCACCTTACATCTCCTTCAGAAGCGACTTACAAACAATTCTGACAATGCAGCAAGTTGAAACACTGAGTATTAATTAAACGAGTTTTGGATAAATAGAGTTTTTTTAAACATTTGTTTAACAACAAGTAAAAGCTTGGAACTGTCTATTCTTTCATTCGGGTGTGTGTCTGTGAGCCAGACTAGTTTCGGAGAATTCCGCACCTCATCAGTGACCACATCAGGTTTTCTTTTTTCCGCCAATTCTTTATTATTATTAGTTGGTGAGAGTTGATATTAGCAACATTTCTTTCTGAATATTTGTGTTGACAGATATTTACTTCTAAAGTTCTGGCCAGGCACTACTTAGTTCTCAATTGTTGACAGATATTTGGTTCTATAGTTCTGGCCAGGCACTACTTAGTTTTCAATTGTTGACAGATATTTAGTACTATAGTTCTGACCAGGTACTACTTAGTTCTCAACTATTGACAAATATTTGGTTCTATAGTTCTGGCCAGGCACTACTTACTTCTCAACTGTTGACAGATATTTAGTACTATAGTTCTGGCCAGGCACTACTTAGTTCTCAATTGTTGACAGATATTTAGTACTATAGTTCTGACCAGGTACTACTTAGTTCTCAACTATTGACAGATATTTGGTTCTATAGTTCTGGCCAGGCACTACTTACTTCTCAATTGTTGACAGATATTTAGTTCTAAAGTTCTGGCCAGGCACTACATATCTTTCTCAACTATTGACAGATATTTGGTTCTATAGTTCTGGCCAGGCACTATTTAGTTCTCAACTGTTTACAGATATTTAGTTCTAAAATTCTGGCCAGGCACTACTTAGTTCTCAGTTGTTGACAGATATTTAGTACTATAGTTCTGGCCAGGCACTATTTACTTCTCAATTGTTGACAGATATTTAGAACTATAGTTCTGGCCAGGCACTACTTACTTCTCAATTGTTAACAGTTCGTATCAACTATTGACAGTAAAACTTGCATCATGTGTCACAAATTTGTCATACCCTAGCGGTAGTGTAGTAACCACTTGATTGATGCGTAACAGGAATATGTTTAACTAACCTGTTCCTTTTGGTGGTCCCGAGCCAACGTATTCTGACAACACATCTCCTTCACTTATATTGTTACCTGGAATGTTAACAACCAGCCAGTGGTGCCATTCACGGAACTTGGGATTCTGTCTACTCGGTGCATCGGGATCTGATAAAAACAACAGATAAATATATTATATACTTTCTAACCCCACGCGGTGAATCTGTATGGCTGGACTAATTAGGACAAATTTCTAATCAATGTACAGAATATTCATAAATTTGGTAAACTCTGTTACTGAATGTATTGAAACCCATACGAGTGCCACGACCAAGATATTCCATAGATGACGCAATGCATCTTCATTCAGCTAATTCAATTCTGTTGTATTGTAGCAGAAGTTAAAACTTCTGTCTCTGAAGCTCAAGTAAAGAATCTCAAGATACCCTGTACAATAAAAATTTAATAGTGTAGTAAGATTTTTATACAGTTTTTTGTAGTTTCATTACATGGAAGTATAGATGTCATGACAGTCCTTCTTCGTGTGACAACTTACTCCATTCAACAAATAAAACAGACTTCTTGAATTCTCGAGAACTATTTATTGATACATCATAAAGACACTTCACGTACAATAAACGTTACGTACACCAACTCACTCTTACCCGTATTTATACGTAACCATGAAACCATATACACCTTGTACGTGATACAGAACTGTTAAATAGATTATGTTTACAGACAGCATGACTCCAGAAAATATACGTAACAAACAACATTAGTTTTAACATGCAAAGTATGTATGTGGTTAGGGCCAGTTAGAGGGGGGGCCATTTGGCCCGGGCCTCAAGCTCAAAGGAAGCCTCAAATTTAGACACTTATTATTTTTTTGCATTTGTTAAGTTTCGCGACTTGTTTTTATGTGTTTCCAAATCAGACCAAAATGTGACACACACACTTTCAACTTAGAGCTGAAAATTACATATACAAACCAAATATTCAAACAATGTTTCACTTTTCTTTTGGGCTAATGATTATCTTATTTTGTTTTTATGTGTCATCATTTTGTTTTTCACTTTTGTTATAGCCAGGGGCCTCAAAAGATAGAAGTGGTCCAGGCCTCTCTGAACCTCTGAGAGGGTTTGTATGTGGTTAGTAATATGTACTCAATAACATACGTCATGTTATAGGTATGTAACAAGGATTTATCTACATACGTCTGCATATATTAACTTCATTCATCACAATATAAACACACACAGATAACGGATGAGACATTTAAATTTCATATTATTATAGGTATAATGGAATCTGTTTGTTTGTTTGTAACGGATTTCGCGCAAAGCTACACGAGGGCTATCTGCGCTAGTCGT